TTCCTGGTATCAGACTCCTTACTAATAATCATATTTTGCTGTGTTCAATAGCACTCTGTGTTCTTGTCATTTATTTCATGGAAAAGTCAGACTTCAGCACAACTACATACCTTAAGTTCTTTGTGAAGTTGGATCTTTCCAAGAAAATGGCACTTACTGAGACAGCTTGGCATAGGGATTGGTAATGAATTATGATTCAAGCTTTCCCATTTAAGTAAAGGCTTCACCTACGGCTCATATAAACAAGAAGTTATAACCTGGCTGCGAAATTTGTTCTGTGTGACCTGTGAGATACAAACTAGTTACACAGACAAGTGGGAAGCGGGAGAATCTTCTGTACTGGCTAGAAATTTCAAGAAAAGTGCATGGCATGGCCTCAGCCTTGAACTCAGAATCAGAGCAGTATAGACCTTCTGTATGGAGTGGCTACTTCATCAGTGGGGGACATGGACTGAATGTGACTTCAGCAGTCCGGATCTTGCAAAACCTGAACCAGGGTTTTTCTGGATTCCTTTTCTCAACAGTAAAGAGTTAACTATATCCATTGTGCCAGGTGGGATATGATGGAAAGGCCAGGGAGTAGGCTTTTTAAGAGTCACGCTCTTCAGGAAGGGAGGATAGTGCATGGATGGATGGACATACAAGCTCTTGGTTCACCTCCAGCATTCACTGAAGCAAATTACTCACTTGGAGCTTTCCAATGTGCTGTTTTGCTTCATGGGTACCTGCCACAGAAAAGTCAGAAGACTGGGCTGTCTTTTAATATATCAGGGTCTGAATTATACGGCAGGCAAGTCCCTTATGACTTGTCCCCATTTTCTGGGCCAGATATACTTGTACCTCCCAACTTGATTCTTGCTGACTTCCTGACCCTCATAGGTGATGTGAATAATGTGTTATCTGAGTAGATGTACAGGGGTATACTTGAGAAAATTTACTTTTACAGTTTTTGGTGTTTCCTGAGCACTCCATGAACTAGTTAAGGGTTACTGAATAGGCAGACTATCACATTATAAAAAGTCATAGTTAAGATCACAAAAAGAAACCAGATAAAATACCACATTACTCACAGCCCAAGAGAATGATCACATTTTCTTCTTTCCAGTCTTGGAAATTCCATCTAACTCTTGCTAATTAGGCAGACAGTATTTAATTGTTTTGCAATTCTGGAGATAGATGGAGCAAGCAGCAAGATTACTGCAATGCACTCTACATAAGGTTCCCCTTGAAGAGTTTAGGCTGTGCTCTTAATTGTTTGCTGAACCACACAGTCCAAGCACAACACCTAAAGGACATGAGGTCAAATTTATGAAATACTAAATTATGCTTTAACTCATCCTTATCTTACAGAAGCAGATAAAAACCTTGTTATCATTCACTCTGATTCATTAACATATTTGTTATATATTTTTAATTATTTCTTGCATTCCACCCTGGCCTCATTAAAGCTGTAATTAAAGCAGCTTACAGGTGATAAAATAACAGAAAATAACAACAACATCAACAACTAAATGTGTTAAAAGCAAACATTACAGCATTCAAACACAGATTCATGCCCTTTACAAGGAGTATTTTGGAAAAGCTACAAGACTGGAAATTGGCCTAGGCTACCTCTCCTGGGAAGTGTTGTTAACTCTACCATACCTCTCTCCTGAACTGCTGCCACCACTCCCTTCTGCACACCCGCACAAGCCTTGAATAGCATGACTGCTGGGTGTTTTGGCCACCTTAACTGTTTGTTTTATACAGCTCTTTCACACAAGTCCTGGGCCCTCATGCTTAGGCTGCACACTCAGGCCACCATATCCCTCTCAGGTATCCTCACTGCCTCCAACCTGGAATCCACAGAAGATGTTCAGCCTCTTCCCCTCAGGCTCCTCTTCCTAATATCTCAAGGAGACACAGCAGCAGTTGCCAGAATACTCTCCTTTCCCCACAAACTGTTGGCCTCAACAGCCTCAGGCTAACTCAGGTAATGGCCTGAACTCTGTTATTTCCCTGACTGCCACCTTCTTCTTTCTTCTCCCAGATTACTCTCAAAGAGGAATGTGCTCCCTCTCTTAGTCATACTGATGCTGGCAGTCTAACAAAACATGATGTTAGTTTTCTCATCTAAGATGCATTCATTCACTGGCTTAGCTGTTAAAAGTTACACTCCAGCTTCCCCTGTTCCTCCAAAGCTCAGATTGACAGTAAAACTGCCTCTCACAGTATTGGGCCTCTGAGTTCTGCAACTGGTTCTGCCCTCTTAGGGAGTGAGAGACAGAACTCCGCCTGTCTGCCACTGATTTATGGTTAGTTCTGTATTGATACTGTTCCTATGACACAAGACTTACCATGTGTTTTACAACCCAAGGCAAGACTGTTGCACATGCAGCTGCCATTTTGAATATACACACCCTACCCAAATGTAGGTGGGCTGTTCGAACCTGGCAAGCATGGAATTGCAAGGGTTAAACAATGACTTGTTTGGGGGTTATGGAGGTTGTTTAGCCCTTGCATAACTCACCCCTGAATAACCCAGACACAAACCCAAGTGGTGTTTGCATATGCAACCTGTTGTCTAACAAGATGTAGCACATTGTCTAAACCCAATTCATGTTGGCTCTTTTTCCTCAAAGCAATATGACAGTGGAGCCAGCTGCCTGGAGAGTTCATGGGCTCTTCCATACTAGAGACATTCAAAAAGAAACTGGACAGTTATCTGAGTGGGATGGTGTAAAATGGTATCCTGCAACAGCAGAGGATTGAACCTGATGGCCTTCATGGCTCTTTCCAACTCTACTATTCTTGATTTTATGATTCTGTGTGTCGACTCCAAACATCACGGAATGGTTTCAGGAGCAATTGGGCTGTGGTAGGTGTCTAAAATAGTAAGAAAAAGTATCTTTCCTATGTCACTAACAATAGAAACCATATATATATGGAAGAAACTATGCATTTCCTCTGGACTCAGAAGCATACAATACTCCAGGATTACCAACCTGGAGTATTCAAGCTTAAATGACATAGGAAGCTTTCTCATTTTGACTGGAGCGATATAAAATATCAAGAGATTTCTTAATTAATATTGCATTAAAATTAAGTTATTCCAAAATTATATTTCAGAAAATGAGCGATAAACAGTTCTGTGGGAGTTCATTTAAGGCTCTGAATTGTACAGATTCTCACTGTTATAATAGCCTTACCCAAAGATCTTGGATGTATTTGTATTCAAATGATTTAAGTAGTTTATCTTTGAACTATTAATACGATATTCCATGTAAATGGAAGACATTTCATGTACTAAATCATTATGAAAGTATTATTGTATATTCCATTCAGTCAGCAGATTTTCAAGCATGTTTTGAGGAAAATGTTTTCAAAGAGTTGGACCTCCCACATCTTCAGCTTGTTTTACTGTACAGTAAATAATATTTCAGGAGATTAAGGAGGAAGTTAATTTCTGTAATATAATGACTACAGAAATCATTACCTAAGCATTTCCCTTGTGGTGAGCATTTTTTAAACAATGCATGTATGATGCACATACAGTCGGTTGTATCCACTAAGGCACTAACAACCCTTTCCATTATTTCTGGTTTGCTGATTGTATTTCACAAACAGTATGTCACTCTGATTTGACTGCATAAGCACCACCACTTATTCAAGGAGTTTTATAACTTCACTGGGGAAGCCCAAAAATAAGTAGAAATATTAATTTTCTAAAGGAGCAGGTGGGCTACGAGAAAGTAGAAGTGCAAAGAAGAAAAATGACTTTTGTCTCGGGAAAATACATATAACTATCATTAGACAAGAGGAAAGCACAGTTAGACATCGGACTACAGAGCTGTGTCACCCAATATTGGGTTAGATTAAGAGATTGAATACACTTAGAGATACACTCACTGAAATCAGTGGAAGTTCAGTTAGTTATGAATCTGATTCCAACCCAATGGTTCTGTCAGGAAAAAAGTGGTTTCATAACAGCATTTCTATAGCTGGTTGTAATGGGATACTAGACCGGACCCCTGCTTTCAACACTAAGCCAAAGGAATTGCATTTCATACTCACTGTTACCATTCCATTCTAAAAGCTGCACCAAGGCAACTCGTAGCAACAAGTGAAAACAAGTGATGGCAAACACTAAAACCTATGTGCTTTAAAGGGTAAGAAACTGATATTACTCCAATGGCAAAGCAATGACATTTATTTTGATAAACTTAGCTCTCAGGTTTACCATTGCCATATCTATGCATGTCTTCTCAGTAGTAAGTCCCACTGAGATCAATCAGCCTTACTTCTAGGTAAACACATATAGAATTTTGGTTAGGTGTATATAGTATTAAAATGACCAGGAAATACCAGTTGAACTGTAGTGTTCTGACGCAAAAAAATCAGGGAAAAACAGATTCCACACACATCTTGTTTTTCTCTAGTCTGACTTTTGGAAGCTTACATGAACTCCTTTTTGTCACAATTGCTAACGTCTAGCAGGACTGCTCAGCCTCCTCTGGTTCTGATGTATTAGATGTACTCATGGGAGTGAATGCCTGCAAACTGGACATTATGTTTCGAAACATAACCCCAAACTAGCAGAAACACTTGCTGCTAGATCAAGACAGGTTAGCAGGGCTCCTGTGTGAACTCCACTGACTTGCTCCATTCTGAAAATAAACATTCCCACTCATTCTGGGTTATATTTGGAATCACAAAAGACCCATTGCACAACCACATGGGTACAACAGGACACTACCCACTGCTGCTTGTATAACCATGCAAAGGTATAATCTTACCCCTTTTTCTCATACTAAACATCACCATATTAGTTTAGTGAAAGCACGACTGGGGAATACCAGGAGTTGTATAACTTCCTTCTGTCTAGACATGCATAAGATTGCACCTTAAGTAATTTGCTAAACATCCATGTGTGTGCTGAAAACGCAAACATTATGCAAAACAGAGACAATCAAGATGGAAATTCAGTTCTACAGAGCACAGAAAGTAAAGGTGATACTTACATTTCCACAATACTCTCTGGCAGGTTGGCTGGAACTTCAGTTAGGCCTTTTCCTCGACAGTCCACAATATTGTTGCTACAAGTGCAAGCAGATGGACAACTGATAGAGTTGGCATTGCAGGACGGAGGTTCAGCATGTGAACCTGAGTAGGAAAAGAAATAAAAATTAACATAGGCACGGTCACACACTCACACATGGATTTGTATGTATTTTATAACTTGCAAGCTGTATTATTATAAAACTAAACCTAATGATGAGCTTGATCAAACATTACAATGTTTCCTTTGCTAAATGACCTAAAATGTTATACAAGGGTTCAAAGAAGACAGGCCCTGACTATTGGCTGCTCTAAATTTAAATGAATGGTGAAAGTAGAAAACACCTAAATTGACAAGGGTTCAATGGATTGTATCCAACAAGGATACAACATCCATCAGCTGAATGGATGTTCTCTATCTTTGCAGCCTTCCGCACTTTCCATATTAGTTCTGGATAATGGTGATATCCTCCAGAAGAAATATGAGTGACATGGGGATGTGGGAAACGAGAAAGTTCCATCCCACAGGCTGAAGTTAATTTACACAACATAGGAAAAATAAATATTGTAAAGTTGTCATGTTTGTGTGAACATGTGCACATATCTGCACACACACACCAAGAATATTGGAATAGATGTTTGTGTTTTTGCAAATAATAAGATACTACTAGTAGTAATTTTTCAACATACTCGTATGTATACATTTATTTGAATAAAGAATTGGAGGGGTCTATGCGACCTTTGCCTTTGAACGTTAACTCTGCTCCATGTTTACTTTATCTTAAAATCAAAGTTAGTACTATCATAGTGGAAACTTTATTTATAATGTTCTTTTTTGTGGAGAGGGGTTCTATTAACTATGCGAGGGCTAATATTTACTACAAGCTTAGTATCTCACTTATAGTTTTTTCTGTTTTTGCCTTTGTTCCGTCTTTATTATCAACCCAGTATGCTCTCTATGCATTTTAAGTGACTGTTTTGCTCTTTCTTGTGACTTTCTCCCCCATGGCTTTCTGATAAGGCTATGAGGGATTTAAGTTAACATTGTGCAGTTCAACATACCCTAATACTTTGTTTAATTTGGAATGTGATACTGATAAAATGTATTAGGTTAACATGAGTAGTATTTGTAAAATAATCTGTACATTTTGTTTCTACCTAGGTTTTAATGTGATCCATTGGGCCGCAATAGAACACTGATGCTTATCAAAGGTATGATATGCAAATAATAGTACTATTTTGTTGACAACTAGTGTCATTCTACTAGCAGAAATTACACTATACTCACAGAAACTAGGTTCCAAAACTATGTGCAAGAGGAGAATCGAACTTATATTAGGTTTCTGCAAGTTTAGTTGCACAACTTGTTGTGCAAATGAGTGTGCATTACACTTGACCAACCTGTTGTGGAACAGATAATGAATGTAATCTGCTTTGCAAGAAGCTGCACATTATGTTTACGGAGTGCAATGTGTTCCGAATATTAACCTTTTATGCATTCAGTCATGGCTTGAATTCTGGATTAGGTATACGTTCTTGTACCGTATTCCTTCAAAGAAATAATAAGATGCACACAGCTTGCCTCTTGTCTGTCAAGTATCAACTATTTAATGCTATGTCACAAAATAAGCATTGTGTTGTCAAGAGAGGAAGGGTGGCCTTATAATCCTTTATATTAAAACACTGTTAAACAATATCAAAGAAAACACTTCCCTGTTCTGAAGCAAAAGAAGAGTTTAAATACTGGTGGAACATATCACCATATATCATCAGTGTCCAAAACATTAGGTATTTAAAAGCTAAAGCCTGAAGTAATATTAAAAAGTGTCACCGAGAGTAGTAAAGAACAAACAAATGCTGCAAGAATAAATAACATCACAAGCTTCCGAATTAGGAAAGTTATTTGTGTGTGCGTGTGCGCATATACAGTTATCAACATCATCCTTTTAAATACAACCTCAAAGGTTCCAAATAGAAGCAAGCTCACCAACGGGTGCTGCCTTTGATTTAAAAAAAATAATAAACCTGAGAATGATTGGAAGGTTTCCCTTTTTGTTACAAAATTATCAGTGATTCCACTGAGAATTGGAATTGGGTAAGCACTGGCATAAACCCATTGTGACAGTGCTGATCTCTCCTTTGATCTTTTAATATAGTCTCACATGTGTCAGAAAGCAAACTAACATACTGGCACACAAGCAAGCAATTACAGCTTTACAACAGGTTTATTTAATAGAGAAGTGTTAAAACTAGAGGTTTCTTTCTCTTGATCCATCATGCCTTTCACAATTCATGGCAATCATTTTAAAGATTTGAATCCTGTTTCTAAAGATTAAAATCAGGAACTCTGGGCAGTCTCCATAATTTGAATGTGTATCTTGCAGCCTGCATACACTTGCAGCTGGGTATTAAACTAATCTGGAATTCAGGGTAACTTGTGATATGAGTCTCAGCTGCTTTGAGTTTGTTATAAAAAAAAAGTGGGATATAAATCTAATAAATAAATAAATAAATATGATACGCCAAGCTCTTGTTTCAAGAATGAAATCCAAAGTCCTGCTGGGCTGCCTGTATGCTACTAAATGAAGTAATATGCTTTTCCATTCAGATTTCCAAAAGTTGTGTGCGTGCAGTAGCAGTGGAAGAATGCCTTTGTCCTTGTCCCATGCTTCCCAATTTACATAATAATATACAGCATATTTATTAAGTCTAAAGTCATGTTAATGACATGTAAACGAAGGGAAAACCATTCAACAAGAATTGAGAATGTGAATTAAAAATCTCTTCCTTCCATTCAGCTTTGAGTATCTGCAACTATAATACTGTACCATGGTTTAGAATGCGTTTGTAACATCATTTCAGAACGCTCAAACTAAAAAACATATTTATAAAGTATATGTTAATGTTTTTTTACAAAAATGAATTTGTGAAAGATTACTGCATTTTGCATGCTTAAAGTTTGTACTACAGCAGGACAAAAATTTATTTTAACTTTCTACAGGAAAGTGTAGTTCCAAATATGTAGGCTATTATTTCTTTTTAATTTCTGTAGCCAATCCATTTTGTTGTTCAACAAATATGTTTTGAGCAACTAAACTGACTCACCACATTCAGAGAAAAAAGCAAAGGTTGCGACAAATGGTTAAAGGTACAGAATAGCAGTCCTCACCACTGCAGGAGGTGAAACCTTAACAAAAACAAACTTTTAAAAGTGCCTTTAATCTTTCACATTATCAACAAGAAATGGGGATAATAAACTCGAAGTAATGTTATCAACTAAATATCTGTGAAATGTTGTAAGGTATGTTGTATGATCAGGGCTTTTTTTGTCATAGAACGCACCAGAATGGTGTCCCAGCACCTTTTTTCGACGGATTTTTCCACATGAATTTGAATTGCCCTGTCGGACGTAGCAGGTCGGTGGCAAAATCATTAAAATTGTGCATGCGGACTGCTTGTGTGTCCGAGCTGGTTGTGATGGCGCTGCTTGGCTTGTGATGCTGCTTGGCTTGTGATTGGTTGTGTGGTCGCGCGCTGAGTGCTTACTGCGGGCGGCGACCACTATGTTTCATTACAGTGGCTGACTATGTGCGAAATGTAAATAATTTCTTTATTTTAAAAAAAGTTGAATTGAAAATCTTTTTTTAATTTTTAGTGTAAAAGTGTGACCCCAAATTTAAAAATGAAAAACATTACTAAATCTCAACCACCGGTCCTGCTAATAAAAAGGCCAGAATATTAAGAACTAAATGTATAATCTTTTAAATAAAAGATTAACAAGATGTGAGTTCCGGCACCTTTTTTTTTTTTTTTACAAAAAAAGCACTGTGTATGATTGCTAATCACTTAGATTATCTTCTGTTATACAGGACCATGTCATCCACAAAGTTAGTTATGGTAAACTAAATTCAATTAGTATTGCATTCTATAAAAAAACACATTTTAAGTTGATACATTATAGATTTTCCAGTGGTACCCATACTATAGCATCATATGTAAGGAAACAGCCAAATCTTAGGGCGCTTGAAAACAGATTACAGTCCCCTGTCCCACCTTCATTTCATAAAAAAATCCTTCCTTCCTTCTTCATTCAGTTAGAATATATGCCAAGGAAAGCTCACTGTGCATTAAGCTAAATACCACTATTTCACACACACTTGCTATTTCATTCCATTTGTATGCTAGTCAGGTACAGAGTGCAAAAGTCTTTCGCTTGAGAAATAGCATCGTATTATTTGTTAATTACTCTCTGTCAGTAATATGATCAGAGTACAATTGAAAAAAGACAATTTAAGTGTAGAATGCTTAACACAGCCCAGCAGTTCAAAAAGACTCTGAACAAATCATAGTAATTTAAAATATTATGCTGTTTAGCTGGGGCATGATTGAAATGGAACTGGCAAAGGGTGACATTTAAATAGGTCCAACATTAGAGAGGTTTATTCAGTGCTTAATGTGAACACCAGCACAAAATGACAGACATAAGCAAAACGATAAACAATAAATTTACTATATTACCTGAGCAGACATATTCCTTCTTTTGAACATCAGCAACATTAAAGCCCCTCAGATGAACAGGTGCCATGCAAAATGTGAACTGTCCAACTGATCGCCTCTGACGCAGCCAATCCGAAAGCCAAGCCAGGTGACAGTCACAGTACAAATAATTGGAGTGAAGTCGTCTGTGGAGTACAAAAAGAGGTTGACATCATACCTACCATTTTCCAAAGTGAAGGCATGAGAAAACAATCTTATATTTAACCAAATGCACCACCCCATGATTTGCACTGATTTTGTACACTGTCCCGAAGTCCTCTTGGTTTCAGTTGTATACCTCCCTGAAGCACTAACAAAGATATAAATGTTGCAAATCTATCAGTCAGTTTAGTTACGTTTGTATATTCAGCTACAACCAATCTTAACAGAAACCACTGACATAATTAAGAACACCTCCAATTGGTAAATTAAAAGGGTTTTTTTTGACATGAGAAATATTGTAGTTAAATGACGTAGCAAACAGCAGGGTTTAGCAAAGCAAATAATGAAGTACAGTCAATGGTAATGCCATAAAGGAACAATTTAGATTATTAGTTTGTGAGACTGGCAATGCAAGGAGGGTGGTGCCCTCGTGCAGCGGCCAGCTGAAAGAAGAGAGTAGGATTTCCACTTATTCCCTCTTGGCTATGCAAGCTTCTTCATGTCTCCCAAAATCTGCTTTGCAGGACTGAGGTATCCTTGGAATAGTATGGAAAGTGGCATGGGGAAAGGGAGATTGCCTTCTGTCTTATGCTGATCAATATTTTCCATCAGTTGGAGGGACACAAATCAGATACCAATCAGAATTACTAAGGGCACAATCCTTTGGAAGTGCCCTGTCCTTAGACAGAAAAAGTTCCTACAACTTCCAGCATTCCTCCGCAAGCATGGGGTATGACTGGCTGGGGATACGGAGAGTAGGAGCCTACATCTGCGTAGGATTACACGCAGATGTATATGGGCAAGTCATCTCTCAGTTTTGTATGTGAATGAAATATTATCAATACATCAGCCTCTCAACCTTAAAAGAACAGTGGTGAGTCATACTTTGTTTCTATTTTTAGATAGCATAAATTACATTTTGGTACTTCACTAGCGAAGTTATACTGCCTTTGTCACATTGTCTAGAAAAAGGTCCAATATTTGAAAAACAAAGTAGAATGTCCAAATAAACTATCAAATATTTCATCCCTTGTCTATGAGTCATGACAGGAAGGCATTAAAGTAGTGCTCCCATGACAATGCTGTCACTTCTGTTGAACAGGACTGGGGAAAACACACTTTTTTGACACACGAACATCACACATTACACTGACAAATCTAAAGTGCTGTAAAACAGAGTCTAGTTCATCTGTGAAATGACTTAACAACATGAGGGGTCCGTATGTTAGACGCTTGCAATGGAGTCCAGTGGCGTCACCTAAACTGACAGTCTCTAGATTTGTATTTCTGCTGGTGGCCTACAAGGTACTTTTGCTGGGATGTTTCCAGAATCCACTTGTTTACTTTTTCCGGTAAGCTTAGGTCTGCTAACCTCCAGGGCAGACTATAGAAAAGCAAACATATCTATTCACTAATTCACTATTCACTATTCACCATATATGCCCAGCCGCCCCCTGAGATCAGCGGGAGAGGCCCTCCTCCGGGGGCCCTCAGTGAAGGAAATTAGGAGGGTGGTTACTCAGAGGAGGGCTTTCTCAGCGGTGGCGCCTAAGTTATGGAATGCGCTCCCCAGAGAGGTCCGCCTGGCGCCGTCGTTATTTGTTTTTCAGCGCCAGGAGAAGACCTTTTTATTTAGGCAGCATTTTAAATGTTAATTTTATTGAATTTTATTTGGCCAGGGTGGCTTATTTTATTCTAATGTATACATTTTAATTGTTATTGTTTTAATTTATTGTGTATTTTTTCTATGTTGTGAGCCGCCCCGAGGCTTCGGCAAGGGGCAGCATAGAAATGTTTTAATAAAATAAAAATAAATAAAAATAATGATGGGGAGAGGGTTTAATTTTGACAAGGTTTTGGAAGTGGCACATAAATTCAGCCCACTGGCCAAATATTCCCAAACTAGTCCATGTCATTTGAGGAACACAGACTTTTCCAAAGTATTTAATGAATTTTAACCAATAACAGCACAAGCTGATAAACACTGATCTGGAAGTAAGCCTCACTAAACACATTTGGAGCTACTTCCAAGTAAACAATCCTAAGATTATGATGCATACATTTTAGTTGCTTAATTATCTGGCTTTTTCTTGTTGGTTGTGTTTAAATAAATAGGCATATCAGTTAGGCTTTTTATTTGGATCATAGATCTTTCGTCTACAAACCAATACATAAAACAATGTTGTGAGACATTGTATTAAAGCAATTAATAAAACCATTATTAAAAATAAAAAGTTGTTCAAACAAGAGAGTAATAAAATATATAAGATAGCAAAATAGAGTAAAATACCAAAATGGGTTACAAATACTCAATAAAGATTGAATAAAGTGTATCCTTGATGTAGATACTTTCTAGAAAATATTGAAAGAACAACAAAACTTGTTTTAAATAAGAAATAATCTAGAATTAAATCTACATCAGAAAGTCAAAGTTATGTCAAAAATTAACAAGTGCAAGTTCTCTACAAAATTATACTCCCTAGGAAATATTAAAAGTTGGTCTTTTGGTGGATGGGGAATATTTATACAGGATTAACATTGTCTGTCATAAATACTTGATTTCTTGATCAAGTATTTGATCACTATATTTCTTGATGCCCCAAAAGTGGTATCTATTCTTGTTTCAGAGTTTTAATATTTCTTCCACACCTGTATTCCCTGGCCATGCTGAACCCCAGGTTTTAACTTACAAACATTTATGCTGAAATTCAGCAGCACACAGTATGTATTTAGGAATAGTCTCTTAGGTGAAGCCCACAGAAAACAAGCTATCAAACTCTAACCATGTAGACTGTATTTTTTCAAAAATATACAAGTACAGTAAAGTGGTTCTACTGCTAGTGTAGTATATGTGGATTTTTGCAGCCTCTTTTAAAGCTGCCTTTTGTCTGTGTGAGAGCACAGGAAACTTTTTCTTCATTCATTGGTGTAGAAACAGTGGGAGAGTTACAAACTGAAAAACTGAAAAAAGTGAATGAAGAACAATATTTTGCATGAATGTAGTTCCCATCAAAAGGAAAACAGATCAATGGAAACTAATTCTTATTAGAACTAAACAAGATTTAAAAGACCCTGTGAAATTGAACATCAGAACATGGATTTAGAAAGAAAAACAAGATGAATCACAACAAAAAATGTATTAACTGGAACATCTCTTTGGCACAGTCTTCCTTAGAAATCAAGTTGAAATTAAACAATATCATTCTTATACTCTGATCTTCAAAACAGCATGGTTGACAAAATACTATGATAAGGCTTAAACTGACTGTTCAAATGGTAACAGGATGATTTACTCAAGATTCTGTACACTAATGTGAGAGGTGGGGCAAAAAGCTGAAGATGCGAAGCAGCTAAAGTAAAGCACCTGCCCATTGATGTCGGTGGGAAGAAGGAATAGGTGCCACACCTTCCCTGCAATCAGGGTGACTTAAATGTCTTGGAAAATTTGCCACATTCCTAAGAAGGCTACCTAAGCCTTGTCTTCTGTACAGGATTTGCTAACACAGGTGCCAAATGTAAATGTGATTTTGTAAAATGGACACCCCTAAAAGTAGTTGATAGACAACAGTGAACAGCTAGTGCTTCAGTCATAACAGGGGCCCTGGAGAACAGTGCATGGGTCACTGCTATAGTCTATTAATCCAGGTTGGACCAAAGCATATACACATTCTTTCCTTCAAGATTTGCTCACCTGTACAGTCGATCATGGACCGTACAAGCTCGTAATAAAAAATGTAAGAGGTGGGGCAAAAAGCTTTCCTAACCCTAATCCTAAGCACATCCAGTCAGGCAAAATATTTTCCCCACAGAAAGAGCATTTCTTCAGTACTGTTTCAGTCAGAAATAGAATAAAAAGTAGTATCTTTTAAAGTTAAAACAAAATGCCTAAACCAGATAATACACTACTCAATTACATGGAAAGTGTGGAAGATTTGAGACCCATTAATATCCACTTCTGCAAGACAATAAAAATGAATGGAAGATGATTCAGAAATATTTACTGGCACATTCAAAAGCAGTTTAAATAATTTTAGGAATGCAAAATAATTTTCCTTCAACAACACTCTAATGACAACTCTTGAAAATATTATTAGATTCTACTATGCATTCTTATATTATATTTATTATTCATCTGATGACACTGATGTCTGTAACAAAACAGATGAAATACAAAATGAAAAATCTAACCTTTTTATTATAGTTCAGCTCTTCTATTTTTCATTAAGAGGAGGACTGCTTAAAAGGCCATGGCAAAATATTTGGCAGTATATGTGGACTGAAACATGCCACTTAAAATTGATGGAACTATATTTATAGCACACAAAAGGGGAATGAATACAAATTCTAGTTTTAAGAACTGCCCTTTTAGTCACAGACTAAATTAAATTTCCAGAATTTCCTTTTGGGTCAGCATTTAAGTTTTATAAAATGTAACTCTCAAAAGTCAATATAAAATCTTTCCTTTAAATCCTATTTATAACTTCCTTCCCTTCTTTCCCCCTTAAATTACAGCAAAAGGGAATTAGTCAATATAAGTCTCCAGGGAGCTACATATAAAACCATCTTTTAAATTAAACCAAAAGGAAACTGGCAGGACACACTATGGTCTGTTTATCACACAGACTGATCGATTTGAAATAACCAACAGATGACTCTAGAGTATTACAAGAAAATACTCAAAAATAATAAGTACTTTTTAATTAGTAATGCTAACTACAGAGAGCCAGAATGCCCTTCTGGAATGGAGAAAATATATACCAGTGTTAGCCCAGCAGGATGTCAGCAAGGGCAAGGAAGATCCACCAGTGTATTAGTTATTGTACTTCAACGTATATGAGTAACTTAGACCTGACCAACCTGTGATCTGTCAAACTACAAGGCTACTAGCAGTGAACTAAAGTCTGCCAGGTGCTTAAGATCCCTACTCCTTTTAAGCAAGCAGCAAAACCAGGTCATTTATTGAACCCTTGGTCTACCTGGCTAGCAGATTGTATTTGGCTTGTAGGCTCACAAGTTTTGTAGGCCTGACCTGAATGGATTCATAATGAAATGCACTGGGGGGATAAACAGAGTCATGAAAATATTTGGCTAAATCACAGGAGAGATTTTTAGCACTTTTAAAATGAAACGTCAAAGGTCTTTGTTTTATAACACAGGTGGAAGGTAATTGAACTCTTCAGTTATGTAATGGACCGAATCCTATGTTCAAAGAGGCTGAAAAGTGGGGTGTTTGTACTGTATAACCAACCAGCTACTCCACACTCTTGTAGCACACAGTTATTTACCCTTAACCAGTGGTGGATATGGAGCTGATCCTTTGGGTACAAGCACTTCCCTCCCTACTACAAAATATCATGAACTCCAGGCTTCTATCTGTAATGTTTCTTCCTGCTCCTGCAGGAACAGCTGCAGTGCCCTTTGCAATTTGATGCCAAAACAGAAGAGGCAGAACAGTGACAGCTCAAGGCTTCTGAAGGCACTTGGGAAAGACCTGTTCAGTGGGACCTTCCCCCAGTCATCACCGTATCATTTCACCCCACTGCCACCAGTGGCCATTGCTCCTCATCCTTTCTCAAAGGAGCAGAGTTGGTGATCTGCCACTCCTATTCTCACCACTACTGTTGTCTGGGTTGCAGGTGACCAAGGCAGTTGTAGGGGTAAGGAAATTCAAAGGAATGTTGAGAAAAGGATGGCATACAGGAGGAGGTGGCTCTGTTTGTGACCAAGCAATATATTTATTGCGTAATAGAAGCCCATTATTCCCTTGCCCAAGGTTGTTTCTCCCAATTTCCCAAAGTCCTGCCATAGAGCAGAATATCCCAACCTCCTACAGTAGTATAATAACCAAGACAGTGCATAAAGAACCTGGAAGGCCACAGTTCAGCTTTGAACTTTGTAAGTAGCTTGAGACAAACTGCTCTTGTAGGCCTAGTCTTCCATCTACAACATGGATAATACTGACTTGTCTTATTAGTGTTAGAAAGATTACAGAGATAATGCATGTAATGAGTTTGAAAACTCTAAAGTACTGTGGCCTTTGCCCCTGACAGCAACACCATCCCCTGAGTAGTTTGGCTCACAGAATGCTCTTGCCAGCAAGAGTGGGGAAGAAAAGGCAATTTCCCTCTCCCCCGCAATTCAGCTCAAAATCTGCTGTGGAGTATGATGTTGGGCAGCCCTATCCCTGGAGTTGGTTTCCTTCCCATCCAATTCTCGCACTGAGACTCTTTGCTGCAAACTGCTCCAAATCTCAGGCTTCCAAATGACAGGAAAGGTGTCCTTGTATACTGGACAGCACAAGCTCATGTTTTGAGTGACATGCCTTTTGACAAATTACCAAGGCACTTCTCTCTGAAATGCCCAGTGAAGGCCACAGCTACCCATACTGTGGCCTTCCCATTCCTGGTCTCTCCATCTACCTCATCCCACTTCTAGTTCAGGCTGCTCCCACATACTGAAGTGAATGAGAAACAAAAGAACGGCACTCGTTTTCAGCATAAGCTATTCTGTCCCATTTATTTTACATGTGTTAAGTAATAAGTAATAACAAAGTCTGGAACACTCCATGTGTTGATTCGAGCATCCAGTATTTCAGAATGGAGTACTTACAGGGTCCTGATCTTTGGCATATGGTTGAAGCTGGTGAGAGGGATGCGTGTGATGTTGTTGTTGTTGAGGGTACTATAAAGAAAAGAAAACAAATACAGATGGAGTCAATCAGTTGCAGTATTCTGACAGTGCTATTTATGTAATCAACCATGATCTGTGGGAAAAAATGGTGTATGAAGAATTAGAACACAGACAGAAATGCATTTATTTTGTAAATATCAGTAACTGCATACAAACAGACATAAAATACTAGCTCAGCATACCAAGGTAAAGAGGGTGCAACATGGTATCGAAGGAGCAATTTGAATTAAAGTGAGCACTCCTCTTGCTATCTTCTAAATAGTTGATCTGAAATATGTGGGTGGATGTAATATGTATGAGCTTTTTTACCAGATAATATAAAATGTAATCACCAGAAAAGGCAACTCTGCATTAAAAGTTCAAAGGGGCATTTTAAGTGAAACAGATACCTGAGCTATTCGTTGATCATAAATGAGGGTTAAATAATGGAAGGAGGTGGATTCACTGCAGTGAGCAGATGCTAACTGGACAGCAAGTACCCATTTTTAAAGTGCCATGCCTTTGTCCTCCTGCTTCTTTATGCTGTAGCCACAACCCTGCCAACTGAGTTAGTTGGCCTCTTCCAAGCCAAAACCTGGCATGGTTAAGAACTGAAGAGGAGATGCCTGTCTGCCTGACAGACTGGATTCTTCTTTGTCTACCTGGGCTGACCTGTGGGTAATTTGGATGTGTACAATCTGTGTGTAAATTGATTGTAAGAATGGGGATTGTTTGAGGCTAGGATGTGTAACAGAATACAATCTGGCAACTAATCTTCAAACAGAGAAAAGTATGCCTAGTATCTATGGAATCTATGTACTGTGCAGATGAGCAGAGGAGTGCTCACTGATCTGGGGGTCTTATGAAATCCCCCTCCCCACTCTATTGGAATGGTGGCCCCCAGAGAATCACTTGCACTTCATCCTCTTATCTCATAGGCCAAGCGCCTCTCAGCAATAGTCACTGGGGAATGTGAGCAGGCAGGTGCTGTCACATGTACGTCCTGCCTGTGGGCATCCCACAGGGAACTGATGGCCACTCTGAACACAGAAGGCTGGACTAGACTGGCCTCTGCCAGTCTTCTGTGTCTTCCAGAAGAGTGTGTCTTCTGTGACGTGGATGCTGCAGCTGCAAATAAGGGGAGGGGAGAGTAGCTTAGGTTTTAAAGCTCAGGGTTACTTTAAATATGTAGTTAGTTGTTCTATTTCCCCACACGTAACTTTTTCAAAAGGAAGCACAGGGGAAAGTCTACATGGTGAATTTAGCAGGAGGCTATGAGGCCTTTTAATGCCTTTTCCCCATTGCAGTCCCAATCTGCAATTTGCAGCTATGTGCAATTCACTGCCACCCCAAATTCTCTTTCCTATAGCATCCAGTTGAATGGCTCTCAGAATTTTAGTAGGAAGTGTGAGACTTATAGCACCCCACTATTTGGAAGCATCAGTGCTCCAGCTTGCCACAACCAAAGCTTAAATGCTTTAAAATGACAATATAAAATTATTTATTTTTAGGTGTAAGAATTTTTTTATAAAAATCTAACACAGGTAAGAACAGCAGGATAATAATAGGACTAGAGTCACCAGTGATCTTTTATGGCTAGTAGTTATTCATACCTATTTGCCTTCACATTTCAATATAGTAGAAGTCCCTTCTGACAATTGCTCAGTTCATGCAAGCCATCCTGGGTTGACCATAGCCAAGACTGGAATTTTCAGGAATAGAGAAGCTACCTTCAGATCAGTTTTTCAACTGTGATTATGCAATAAAGATGGTTCAATTCAACTACTTGGTATTTGAACACAATACAGGGAGATCATATTATAAGAACAAGGCCAAAAGGTTTGTGCCTTCCATAGACTTTATGATTCAGAAAACAGCCTGTATGGTCCTCACTAGGAGAAGCAAATTACAGATCCCAGCATGTCCTGGGGTCTGCTGGGGTTTCCTTTTCCTCTTCCAAGAAAGCTCCCTCTAACTCAGGCTTTGAAAGTTTTCAAATCCTGACAAGCAGCAGAACTGAGAAGGTTGGCCAGAGTCACTTGGCAACAGGGATTTTGTCTGTCAGCATCTCTTTATGCACATGCACAAGCACACATACACAGCAATTCAGAGGGAAGTAGAAATAAACACTGTCAAAGCATCCTATAGGGCTTTGGATATTGGGGCGGGGGGGGGGGTGGAACAAAACCACAAAGGCAAGCTTTTGTTCATGCAGATTTTGCACACCTTCAAAGTCCACTTTTGGCCTCTGAAACAATCAATTACATATTTTAACACAATACTACTTTCTGTTTTCTACAGTAGAAACATATTTTAATTAAAAAGAATAAAATCCACACAAACCAATAAGGAAAGGTTCAAATTACATTAGCAATGTTCTCTAGATAAGCATTATTTTTGGCTGAACAATGAGCGACACTCAAACTGCCTCCAAATTATACCCTAAAAATACAAGGGATTTATCTAACCACCCAATATTTTATCATAGTATTTTTTTTCTCCCATCATGGAGTCAGAAGTTGCAATGTGCTTGTGGAGTCAAATTTAGGTTTCTAGGTACCTGTTGACAACAGGGGCTCCAAAGTAGCTTTTTCTGAAATATTTCCTATCCCATGTGCAAGACAAGATAGACTGGCACTTAAAATCAAAAAGATAGTTGCTCATTTTTTAAACTGAGCCTTGCTTTAAAGTCAACAAACTGGACAGCATTTGCTTCATGAGGTACTATTTCTAGGGGACACGGTTGGAAATGTGTTTGCTTGTCCAAATGAGGATGGGGTACATATAAGCCATGAATGTATCATAAAGCTGGAAGGCTGAAGAGGCCAATAGGACAAATGTACAATTTGGAGACATTTAGAGAGGAGTACTATGAATTAGTGCTTCTATGCTAATATTAGAAGTCTTAAGTCATGATGGGGGAGTTTGGGTCCTTGATTTTAAAACAGAAAATAGATATATTGGATAAAATGGGAAACTGATAGAATAGAGAGAATCTGAATACTATGAACTCTATGAAGAGAAAAGGAAAGGGCATATTGGGCTTGCCAGGACATCAAAGAGGTCAAAGCGTCAAACAAACTGGAAACCTCAAAAGGACAAATTCTTCCACGGAATCACTGTGGATGATAATAACTGGCCTCCAAAATGATTTCATATTGTGGACATGTTATCACCAAAATGCTTAGGGTGATCTTGAAATGGAGAATCACATCAAAGAGGCATCCAAAGGAAAAAAGTGTTATAATTCTGGATAACTTCAATTATTCTTAGTTAAGAAAAGCTCATGTTTGGGGATCAGAATGATGTAAAAGAAGTCTAGATAGTCTACATGACTGCCTTAGAACAGTTGTTCATGGAAGATACTGGAAATTAATACTAAGTGATACCCAGGAACTAGCATTATATGTGTTTTTGAACCAAATAGAAAAAGCAACCAGAATGCCATTAGATTTAATATATGATTAAGCGGAAAATTGTCAAGGAAGGCCAACATAGTCGATTTGACTTTCTTTTCAAAATAGATTCTCTAAAAAGAGAGAACTAGTAAAATGAAAGGGGAAGTCAGGGGGATTAAATTCCTTTCAAATGCTTTGAGGTTACTCAAAACCAGTATAATGGAAGCTCAGCTATAGTGTATATTCCAGAAAGTCATTTGTGAAAAAAAGACTTCCCTTAGCCTTTGCCTAAGTGAGGAGAGCAAAAGGGAGCATAAACTGGCACAGAGACAGTGAGAGATGCAAAAAACCATTTTGGGGAGCATATTGCCAACTTCAAGGCCAACAATAAAGAATTCTTTGGAAAAATCAGAAGCAAGACACCTGCTTGGAAGGCAGTTGTGCCATTAGATGAGAACGAAGTTAAAGGAGTACAGAAGGAGAAAAAAGACACTGCAGAGAAGATGAATGAATTCCTTTCATCTGCCTACAGTTATCACAGGCCCACATGCTGCTTAATTTTATTTTCTGGAAAATGCAACCAGAAGAGAGCTGTTGCATTCACGTCCTGCTTGTGAGCTTCCTGTAGGCATCTGGTTCGCCACTGTGTTGACAGCGTATTAGATTAGATATGACTTTTGTCTGAACTAGCATTGTCTTTTACATGCTAAGTCATTAAAAACATTTTCCTGTCAAGCACGTGACTTTCCAGGTAACCATAGCATCTATTACTCTGAGTTAAGTATGCAGGATAATAGCTATTCTCCCTTTATTAAATAAAGTTTTCAATCTTACATTCTCCAAAAAATGGGCTTAGTTGCTTAAGTTGCCCAACCATGACAGTGAATGTTGCAGCCTTTACATTTTCACTAAGGCTTGAACGGGACACTATTATCCCATGTGCACTATTAGTTTAGTAGACAAAGCACTACTGTATATTGCAACATTAAAATGGTTCTGCCCAGGTTACCACCACTGCTTACATTCATAGCTATGTTAAGATGGGACTGTGTGGCTGTCTTTCTTTAGCTAACTGTACTGATGGGTAATTGGACTTTGTGAGTGTGGGGATTATAGTTGTATCTTATTATTGCTGATATTATGTATTGCATTGCGTATTATATTATTTTACTAAGTTTTGTTTTGATTTTTTCATTGCTTATAGTTAAATACTGTATTGATTGATTATAGTATTGTATTTGCATGGAATATGTATTTTCTTGTTCTATTTTAAGTTGCCCTGAGAGTCCTATGGCCTATGGGGAGGCATACAAATATACTACTCCTACTAATAATATTGTTTGCTTTCCTATAGCATTCTAGACTGCTCACGTTATGTCAGGCCGTAACTGTACTGAGAAGGAGAAAGGAATGAAAGGGATGAACTTAAAATGCACCTTTACATCTTCTAAAGTAGAATCTTTGGTACATGTAATGGTTGGCCTTTAAATGTGAGATGTAAGCCAATTTCCAAACATACCACCTCAGGAAGAGCTTCTGGACATACTACTTTCTGCTGTTTTGTTGGAAATTGCATTTTGAATATAACTTTGTATGGGGTGCCGGATATTGTTT